TTTAAAAAAAAAAAAAAAAAAACTCTCTTCATACATTTTTGGAATGCCTAGAATTGTTGATAAATTATTACTAGATTAGAGCCCCATACTTTAATGGCAAAAAATCCATTATTTTGACAAAATACATTCATGATGAAACTAGTCCACATTAAAACAAAGTAAAAGACTAAAAACATTGTTATAAAAAAAATAATAATAATGATTTTCGCAATCCCTCAATTACTTCTATGACTCCTCAAAGCATTCTTTTTTTTTTTTTTTTGTTCAAAAAAAAAAAAAACATAGGACACGACTCTTAGGACCAAATAATAACCTTTAAGCCAATCTATCATGTTTGGATAAATCAAAAGGATGGATACAAAAATAAGTATATAAATTAGATAAATTTAGATAAGCAATAGTGCAATTTGTACAAAAAAGTGAATATTGATTTTTGTCTGTATATTTCTATGACTTTCAATTTAAAAAATAAAATAAAATACAAAAAACAAAAACGTCAAAGAAGTCTAAAGTGATTATTTGATGGTTTTGGAGTATTGTTCCACGAGTCAAGATCCTTTAGAGTATTTTTTTTTTCTTAGTGTGATTGTAGAGTAATGTTTTAAAAATTGGACGAGTGAGCAAACTAGAAAAGAGATTGGGTGAACGAGTCACCAGTTCAACTCGACAGTTGAACCGAAATCCAACCATGACGTCATAAATATATTAAAATTTATATTTAAATAAAAATATAAGTAATAAAATTATAAATTAAAAATATTAAAAATATTAAATTATCTTAAATATTTGTCCTAATATTTTTTTTACTGAAAAATATAATAATATATTTTAAAATATTATTAATTTCAATTTTAAAAGATGAAATCAAATATTTAATATTCCCTCCAAGTGATTTTAATTCAAATAATTTGATTGAAATGAGAGCAAAAATTTTGGAGGGATATCAAAATTTCAATATTCCCTTCAATACATTTGATTGAATCCCACATGGATTTCTGGAGTCTTTTTGAAAGAATTCCCTCCAATGCCTTATCTGGTTTGAACTTCTGGGAGTTTGTCTTGTTCGCTCGAGCGAAGGATTGGTCGCTCAAGTGAAGTGTCCGAATTCAACATATTTAAAAGTCACTTTTGGTCCACTTTTCTTTATTCTCTCTTGCTCCTTCTCTCTCTTCTTCCTATTTTCCACCATTGTTGTGGGTTTCAAGCTTTCATGCTTGGGTTTCATTTGTTTTCTTTCATTTTCTACCCCATGTTCCTTATATAAAAAAGAAAAGCACGTCAAGGGCTTTCTATCCATCCAAGCGGATCGCATTCTCGTTGAAGTGAAAATTTCGGGTTCATCCTCTTCTTCCTTAAGGTAGAGATTTTTCTTGCTTCGCATCAATATTTTCTTATAAATGGATATGTGGTAGATTTCTATTGCATAAAAACCTCATCTTGAGGAGATTTCTACAAAGCATGTAAAGGAAGTTGGGGTTTCCAAAATAAAGAAATTAAATGACAAATTGAGGTGGATTAAAGGAAGTTTTAAATGGTTAGAACAAGATTTTATGCTTTAAGTAAAAAGCCCTAATTTATGTCTAACCCTAGTTGTGGAATTTATTTTGGAAATAAAGAATGTTTCAATTGACTTTAGATTCATGAAATTAAGTTCATGTTTGGTTAAGATGGGTATAAATAATGATGATTAGTGGTTGTAGAAATTGATTATTGTATACAAGGGTTATGTACAACAAATATCACTTTTTATAGCGTGCAAAAAATGCTATCAAAAGTAAATAATAGCATTTGTTGGAATGCTATATTAGCCCATGTTATTAAAAGTCTATAATTTTCAATAGCATTTATCAAGTGCTATAAGTGAACGCTATCAAAAGAATACCGTAGCATTCTAATAATGCTATTGAATTATAACAATAGTAGTTTTGTCATGCTACAAATTCTTTCGTAACAATTTGCGGATGTTGTCATAGATGATGTTAATACCATCATGTGATAGTTTTTTACTTGCTATCATTGTAATTTTTTTTTTATAAAATAAAATTTCATATTTTCATTCAACATCAATGTTGAAAGTAATTACACAAAATTCATTAAAAGGATTGAAATAATTATACAAACTTGTCATACGTTGACTTAATAAAACACTAAAATTAAGTTTCCAAAGGATGCTAATGGACAAAACATAGCCATGTACAAATAAAAATAAACTAGTTATTCAAATATCCACTTCTTCAATTACAAATTTCATATCCTTCAAGCTTGCTTTTGTGATGAGTTTAGTCCCTCTACTTTCCAAAGGCAATAGCTGCAAAATGAAAATAAAATTCCTAGTCAATAAACAAATTTAAACAATATATTTTCAGAAATAAGTTTCAAGATCACATTCAAGGTAAAGACACATCAAACTTCAAGGTGGACTCACCATATAATACAATTAACATCGTACAACTTGACAGTAACAAACCAAATGAAAAATTACAAGGAAAAAAAAAAACTACTGTTATTATTAGTAGGACAAACTAATTTTAGAAGCACGTATATACCTTGGATTAACTGCAAGAATTTGTTCTGATAAATGTTTCTTTCCATGACAACAAGGTAACTGGAGGAAAAAAAAAAAAAAAACAACAAAAGGAGTCAAAATTAAAAAACTTGCAAGCAACCCCTTGCAATTGTAAACCAATAAAAATATCATGAGCAGAACATTCAATCTTACATATGTAATTACTCCTATGGGGCATTTTTCATGATGGCATGCCATCATTTCTTATATATATTTGCGTGTCTGCCTACATGTACATCACTTGAGAAAACCACAGAAATAGATTGCAATAAATATATACAAAAATCAGCAAATATAATTAATTGATGTGGGCTGAATATAGAATTAATTTAGCTCCTGATTAAAAAAATAAGACTAAGATGCCAAGGTGAATGAAAATTGCCCACTAGAACTAGATATCACATTTCACAAGATAGGTATTGAAAATAGGCCAGAAGTGTAAAAACCATGATAGTCAACAAACAAGAGACATGTTACAACAAAATAAAAGGCAAAAAATAAAAATAAGAGGTTATTTGGCAATCTTGAAACAATATTTCATATCATTCATCTCATAATATTCTTCTTCTCTTCTTCAAAAAATAACACAAAAGTGATGGATTTCACTATTTTAATTAATAAAAATATTTACAACTATATGAAGATGCAACTCTTTCTGTATAATAAATAAATAAATAAAAACACCCTATAAAGATTCCCTGTAAATATTTGTCCCACTTCCCACTAATTGACAATTTCTTCAAAATATTAAGTTAAAGCACCATATAAAATTGTTGCAAGACCTCCAAATAAATTTTCAAGATGAAGACTATTGATTGTGTATTAAAGTAAATATGCAAGGCAACTTTCCCATCGTTCGTGTTGGGACCAAAAACACTTTTAAGATTTTTTTTCTCCCAAGCAATCAATATCCCATCCAGTACTAATTTATCCATTAAAATATTCCGCAAAAAGAAAACTTCAAAATCGAGATCACAAAACCCAAATAATAACAGAGGAAGAAAAGACAATGATTAATAAATACGAAGAGTAAAAAAAATAACCTATCAAGAGTAGGTGATTTGTCTGTATCTATTTGATAAGATCTGTACAATTTAGTTTGTTTGTATCCTTGTGTTAGATATATAAAAACCATACCCATGTTGATCCAAAAATTCTAATCGATTACACAAAACAGGTTAGCGTTTTACAAATCTGAACAAAGAGGCAGGGGAAGAGAATTACCTTGACTTTTTTTGAACAATAATTATCGTGATTGAGGAATTGCTCTTAACAAACCCTATAGTAGAAACCTTAAACAATACAGAGGAAGAAAGAAGAACAGGGCAAAAAAACACGGAGAGGGAAATCATGACGCTGAAAACCAGACCCAAAAAAAGGGCGGGCACATTTAAAGTAAATTTTTTTAGAAGGTTTTCTTAGCATTTATTTTACGCTATAAAATCTACAATAGGCTTCCAAATTAATTAATATATCACATTGGTTTTTAATTGCTATCAAAAGTATAAAAAAAAATAAAAATAAAAAAAGTTATAAAAAATAAATGGTACGATTAGATAATTTTTTACACCATTTTATTACTAAATGCTATTAATGCCTTTTATTTTATAACATTTTTTAAAAAATGCTATAAACAAATGCTATAAAATATACTTTTTTTGTAGTGGTTAAAGAAATTAATGTTGGTAATTAAATCACTAAATCTTGGATAATGTATAATAATTATTGTTTTGTACAATTAAATATTAGGATTTGATGATTAAGTGGAATGGAACACGTGAATTGTAATTGCCTCTAAAGATAATCTTTATGATTATGATGGATGTGTTGTTAGATTAATGTGTTATGGAAAATAATGAATGGTGTGTTCGCCTGGTCGGAATCGTAACACAAGGAACAACATGATGAAATGATGGATGGTGATATTGGAATAAAGGTCTGTTTCCTCCCTGCTTGTGACAAGTAAAGCGTGGCGCTTAATAGAGGTTTCGCCTTCCTTCCGGAGTGGTGCCTGATAAAGCATGAGGGTTCTCAAAGTTTTGAGAGTGGATATGTTTTGAGGGTAGGATTTGGGGAAGATAGATGGGTGGTGATGGAGATGAGTGTTCTCATAAACTCTATCTCATTATTTAGTGGGTGTGTGAGCTTAATTGTGAGAAGAGGTGTTCCAAAATTATTGATATCATCTTTAGTAATTTTATTTGGGAAATTTGGCTTTAAACCCCCCTTACTTTCCTTTCATTATTAAAAGAACTAAGAAAACAATTATACTTTCTAAACCCCATCATAATTATAAAGTCTTTCATAAAGAACAAAATCTATTATTTAAATATTTTATCAGACTATTATATCCTCAACTAAATCTTCCCACCTTCTCCGTCTCTCTCTCCCCCCCTCCCCCTCTCTAAACACAGCTTCTCTTCATAGTTATGCCAGAGGCCACCTTAGCCACCAAAGCACCGTCCGCCAATGTATTCTGGCCACCAACCGCCATGATTCTCGGCGCCACCCCCTCCTCCGCATCCAATGTCAGTCAAGCCTTCCATTTCTCTTCTGGAAACCCTAGAATTGAAGAAACCAGAGGCTTCATGCACCTCTACCATACTCTATTCACTTGTTTACTAGACTGAAATTCTAACAAAGGTTCTCCCTCTTCCTTCAGTCCTCAGTTCAATTTGTGATCTGAGAGGAGCCTTAATTTGAGTTTGCGATCTATGCTTAAGAGGCTTGGGTAAGGTAGATTCAACTTATAATATCTCAAATCTGGATTCGACTAATAGCATCTCAGATCTGGTTTGTGGCATTTCGAATTTGGTGTGATTTCACCATTACGAACTCGATTTTGAGTTTTGATTTGGAGTCGACCTTGTAGCTCAAAATTTTGCCTAAGATCTGGATTGATGACTTGACCCTCAAATTTGGTTCGATGTCGCTATTTGATCTTCGACATATGTTGATTAGTTTTTTTGTTTTTGTTTTTGATTTATTTTTGTTGATTTGTCGAGTTCAATCAGGTGAGTGCTCTAGTTTTTGTTTGACAGAATGAGAGTAAAATTTTACTCTGGTATGTGCTCTGTTTTTGTTTGACAGAATGAAAGTAAAATTTTATTCTGGTTTGTGCTCTGTTTTTGCTTGACAGAATGAGAGTAAAATTTTACTCTGGTTTGTGCTCTATTTTTGTTTGATAAAATAAGAGTAGAATTTTACTTTGGTATGTGCTCTATTTTTGTTTGATAAAATGAGAGTAAACTTTTACTTTGGTGTTATCTGTTTTGTTTTTTGTTATTTTTTTATACAATGATAGTAAACTTTTACTCTGTTATTGTGTACTTCTGTTATTTGTTTTTGGATTCCTAGTTTTTTTTTTTTTTTTTGGATCGACAAAAAAGACTTTATTGATGGAAAATGAGATTTACATCAATAAAGAGGAGCTTGGAGCTATAACAAGCTCCAACCTCCTAGTTGGTGAGAGACCAACGCGCAAAACAAAAGCAAAAAACCAGAAAAAAAATCAGACAGATCAGTCAGCCCATCCAAGAAGTGGAAAGAAGCTGCCAAGACTATGAGACGACAAACACAACTAATAGAAAACCATACGTGGACAGCAGAGCAAACAGAGCAGCTAGGGGATAACTGCTGCAAGTTATACACCAGAACAGAAAAGCAACCTGCAGAAAGCCTCAACAACCCCATCACAGGAAGCCCTCCAAACACCAGCAGTGTACAATTCTAACAAATAGCCAGCAGAGGTCCATATAGAATACAACTCTAAGCAAGCCGAAGCATACTTCCCAGCAAACCAGCAGAACAAGCATACTTCACTGTATCGAGCAGCATACAGATCAGAGACAGAGCAAGACTAAGCAGGACCTCGCAGAACTGTTGCTTTGAGGCAGTACTGCTGCAGACCAAAAGAAAAAACTCCAGGAACAGCTCCTAGCAGAGGAGAAAAGAAACAACAAGAATCTCCAGGCACACCTTCAAACAACAAGAATCTCCAACTTGACTTTGACTCGATCCACAACAGGCTTCCAAGTCTTTAACCTTCCTGGATTGGCCCCAAGAGGCATCCCAAGATACTTAAATGGAAGCTTTTGACACTTACAATTTAGCTTACCGGCGACTTCCTCCAACCAGGCATCTTGAACTCCAATGCCAGAAATCACACTCTTATGATAATTGATCCGGAGCCCAGACATCACTTCAAAGCATCTAAGAATCCTCTTAATATTCACCACTGCCTCCCATTCTGCCTCACAAAATATAATAGAATCATCCGCAAATTGAAGATGGGACACTGACACCTCGTTCGCCCCAAGAACAGCACCCTTGAATAGATTTAACTCCCTAGCCCTCGTCAACAAGATGTTAAGGCCCTCAGCTACCATATTAAAAAGGAAAGGGGAGAGAAGATCCCCTTGCCTAAGGCCTCGAGATGGGCTAAACTCCGATGTGGGGGAACCATTCACGAGAACTGAGACTCGAGTATTCAATATACACTCCTGCACCCAAGTCAGCCATTTTTCTCCAAAGCCAAAATTCTTCATCATAGATAGCAGAAAGGACCAATTAACTGAGTCATAAGCCTTTTGGAAATCAAGTTTCAGTATAATACCACGCTTTTTAGTCTTCTTCCACCAGTCAACAATTTCATTGGCAATTAAAATCCCATCTAGGATACTTCTACCACCCACAAACGCTAACTGCTCTTCACTAATAATTCTAGGCATCACCATCTTTAACCGGTTAGCCAATACCTTAGAGAGAATCTTGTATACAGACCCGATTAAACTGATCGGTCGGTAATCCCCAAGACTAACAGGATTGTCCTTCTTAGGCACTAAAGTAATGAAAGAACTGTTAATCCCACCCACCAATTTCCCATACCGATGAAAGTCCTGCATAAACTGGATTACCTCTTTCTTCACAACCTTCCAACATTTCTGAAAAAACAACATATAAAATCCATCTGGCCCCGGAGCTTTATTACCATCACAACTTCTCACTGCTGCCCAAATTTCTGCCTCAGAAAATTCTGCCTCAATGTGTTCCACTGCTGCTATGCTACCAATAGATTTAAAACTTTCCACCAATTTTGGCCTTGAACTCCACACTTCCATGAAATGCGCTTTGAAAAATTGAAACACTTCATGCTTAACTCGGACTGGCTCATCATAGACAATTCCATCGAATTTCAAAGAGCCAATTACATTTCTATTCTGTCTGCAGCTTGCCATAACATGAAAAAATCTGGTATTTTTATCCCGTTTAAGCGCCCAATTTTGCCTTGATTTTTGAAGCCAAATCCATTCTTGCATTTTACTTAATTTCCACACCTCGTCTCTAATTTCCCTTCTACTCGATTCCTCCCCATTAGATAGCTCTCTAGTTTCAGTTAACAAATCAAATTCATGTAATTTCTCCTCTGCACGGTGTAACATCACAGGTATTGCTCCAAACACTTCACTGTTCTATCGCTTCAAAACTTGTTTAATTAGCTAGAGTTTTTTAAGCATTACAAAGCCACCCCACCCAGTAATCTGTGACTCTTCCCAGGCCTCCCTTACCACTTTAGAGAATGAAGGATGAAGAAGCCAGGCATTTAAAAATCTGAATGGTTTAGGACCCCAATCCCTTTCATCCTCCATAAGCAAAATTGGGCAATGGTCAGAAACAATTTTAAGCAATCCCCACAATTTGATATTGAAGCTTTCCAACCACTCTGGGTCCAACAAAAACCTGTCGATTCGACTCCATCTCGCACCCTCCTGATTATTACACCATGTAAATTTTCTTCCAACCATTGGTATATCTGTGAGGTCACAGGAGTCAACAAAGTCGTTGAACTCTCTCATACCCCTATCCCTTCTTGACACACCTATACGCTCACTAAGGCAGCACGGGCTAAGAAATTTACTTCTAAGCTGTTTAATAATTTCCCACAACCTCCCCCTCTTACTTACATCAGTAGGAGCATACACATTCATCAAAACACAATCAAAGGAATGATAGATAGTACCTTGCAAAAGCAGGAAATTCCTACTACCACAGCACTCCTTTAATTGAAAAAACTCAGGATCCCAGACACAAATTATGCCACCTGAACTTCCTTGTGATCCAACCTCCATATATTCAAACCGGGTACATCCCCAAATAGATCGAATATCCCATTCTGATAGCAATATTCTTTTTGATTCTTGCAAAAAAAGCATTCCAATTTTCCTCTCCTTTATTAATTTCTTGATTTTGCCCCTCTTTTCTGGCCGACCCAAACCTCTTATATTCCACGAAAGTATCTTCATTTAAACCGCTAACCACACTTTGAGCGCACCTACGGACTGGTTTACCTCGGTGAACCAATTCTAACCCCCACTTTTTCTTTGTCTTGCTGTTCCAGCTGCACGATACGGTTGACAATGCTTGCTTCATCTTGCCCAAACTCCACCCCAAGTAATTTACCCATGCACAGTGTTGCCTGGGCTTCATTTAAAATCCAAGCACTACCTCGAGACCTGCTGTTATCTCAGTTAGCTAGAGATCTGGACAGAGCTACTGAAGCCGATCTGAACAAAGCCTCCTTTTGAGAGTTTCGTCTTGCTACTGCTTCACTGTGCCCTCTTCTCCGTGCAGAAAATGGCAGCTTCGAACTTCTATTTCTATGCCAAGCTTTCTTACGAGCTGAAGTAGCAGCGTTCGTAAGTTGTTTATAAGGGCCCTTATCCAACTCCTTACTGTTACCTTCCAGATCCAAAGCCTTTGGATGGCTAAAATTCTGGCCCACTAAACCATACCCAATACCCTGACTAGGATATGGCCCTATCGGCCCACCAAGCACCAATTCTCCCAACTAGGCCTGGGAGAAACACACCTCAAGATGGACTTCAGGCAAGTTCTCAGCCGATCCACTCAAGCTCTTCATATATCCAGAGGTAACCACATGTCCAACCAACTGCCCATCGAGCCTCACACCAGAATCATCATTACACTTCTGTGCAGATGACGACTCTGGTATAACCATCTTATCGGAGCCTGCATTTGAATTTCAATTTCCAAGGCTTTCCACGGTCTCAGCTACAACCGATGCATGTTGCCAGCTCAAACTTCCTCCACTTGCCACTTCACTTGAACTAACCTGTTGATCCTTGTCCACATCAGCTAGTATGTCCACGGCACCCTCTTGATTTGGTGCCACCTCAGCTTCACCTTCAACCCGGCCATGGGCAAAGACTGAAACTCCATCACTATGTCCACCGGAGCCATTTAACTCATCTGAAGTGTGACTATCCAAATGCCTGCAGCTAGAAAATAACAATTGCTCTTCACAGATTCGCACTGGGTACACACCGCTGCCGGATTCGAGACTAATCACGACATTGATGGCCTCCATACATTTTGTAACAATCCTAATTTTGCTGCAGACGAACGACAACGGGTCTCCAATATCTTCATCCAGCCCTACCACTTCCCCCCATAGCCTTCCAATAGAAGTAAAAGTTTCTGCACTCCACAGGTTCAGAGGAACTCCATAGCATGAGAGCCAAGTGCTTCTCTCTTGCTCAATATGCAATCCGGCTTTCCAATCCCGAACAAACTCACCCCACTCCACCATCCAACCTTGCATTAGTCTTACACCCTCTTCTTTCTCCTCGATTGAGCTAAAAGCAATAACAATATCCCTTCCTCCACCCTCTCTAATTCTTCCTTTCTTCACTCCCCTACTTCGAGCTTCATGTTTGAAATTGGCCTTTGTAACATGATGGTGTAATCTAATAATCACACTCTCATACAGCCATGCATTTCCCACCTCCCGAGCTTTCACCACTAACCGTGATTGACCCTCCTCTCTATTCCCAGTAAGAACTTCTGCAAACGTTCTCCTCATTCCTCTATTATTTTGTACATTTCCACCCACAAAAGCAGTTTTTTGTTTAGTTGTTTTTGTTGCACCAAAAGTATTCGCATTTACCACTCTGCGTTGATCACTGTTAAAATCCGCTTCCTTAACCTTTAGAGCTCTGTCCTCCACCCACAGCCCATTCGCTTTTTGGATTGCCACATTAGCAGCTACTCTGCAGTCATACCTCACAAAACCAAATCTTGTACAGCTGGCACAAATATCTGCAAAAA